AATACGAAGATGACTTTATGGGAAATTACGGGCGATGTCAGACTGCACAAGCGTGGGTTTTTTATTTCTTCGGCTTACGCTGCCAAAATTAYATAAAAAAGGACATTGCACCCCGCTGTCGAATCAACGATTCAAAACAAACCTGCCCATTCTTCGTGCAACTCAATTAGTGATATATATTWCTTTAATTCCAAACATCCTGCTGCAGCTTCTACTTGTCTGGTTATACGCTAAATCGGGTTCAAAACATAGAACGGAATCAAAATTGGCAGGTATCCTCTGATGTATTCAAACACAGTCAATACGACACGTGTTAAAAGCATCCATGCTTTCTGTCATTGCAACTTCAGTAAAATTTACGAACAATCCACGAGTTGTAGATCACTAGATACAATTTATTTACGTACTTACTATGTTACATTTCGATCTTATTGCGATGTTTTTTAATCCCGAGAGTGATTTTGCAATTGTGTGTATGCAGATTACATGACTATTATATCAAAAGCTCTATTATGAAATACGTTATTTATTTAGGTAACTCCTAACTATACTGATTATTCTTCTCATTGGCGCATTTGTACTTCGTCATTGCTAAGAAGTGTGATTACCGCTTTCATTGCTATCTTTAATGAGATCCACATGAGAACMAAATGCAAATTGCTATAAAAAACCTCATGTTATTGCAGGCAGGGCTTCCAGATACCTGTTTATTAAACTGAATCGTTCATTCAAGCTACTTCTACCAATAATCTTAGAGCGAGARATGCGTTCCAAAGCCAAGTGTTGTAATTTTCTCCTTTCCTAAGCGCATATAATGACAATTTCTTGGTTAAATGACTTGAGGCTAGAAATGATTAGAAATTGTGGTTGACCACAAGCCGATTGCTTTTCAGTTTTGGTGAAAGCTTGGGGTTTTGCAAATCGCCTTGATTTTTCATTTTTCTCAGTTTCATTTGCTTTTTATTTTTGGAAAATAAGTAGTTTTACAATCATCGTGATTAAGAATTAATACCCATTGAAACAAATCTAGTTTAATTTATCTCATTCAGTTAGTTTAAATTCATGGTTAATAATATAAAGATCTGTAATTATTTTTTAAATCACCTCTCCCTTACRATACCATTCACTGACTGCTATGTCCATCTATATCAACTTTATCTTTGATATTTTGACRCTATGTTCTGATTAATTTTCAATCGTATGTTCTGCAATTACTAATCAAATTACAAGGTAAATTGAATGCAAYGTTCAGTTTGCTGATCCGGCTCAGTACAAGATCAAAACTCTGTGCTCTAATGCCAGCTCGGCAGCCTGGTAGACATTTTTATCCATCACCAACTTTGCTCTCTCGTTGAACGGAATATCGAGGGAATACGCCACAATTTTTGGCATATTTTCCATTGCTTTGATCCCGGATTCAATGTGTCTTCCTAGCTGTTCTTGCCAAAGTAGAGCTTGCCCGATATATGAAAAAACGTTTCCTGTACCTTCTTTATGGCTTGAGCCAGGAAGAAATACGCCCAAGAAAGAGAACTGACCACTTCTGAATGCAAGCACTGGGCATCCTGTCATTGTCGCCTCAAAACCACCAGAAAAGTCGTACATTCCGAGATCCAGGATTTGGTAAACACGGGACACCTTGAATCCGAGATGAAATCGTTTCTGGTCTTGGTCGTTTTCCATTGCATGATATACAGTGCAAAGGATATCTTCTTCATGAGGTTTGGTATCTGTGGCGGAAACAAGGCCCAGTTTATTTGTCATCAAGTTTAGGAAACTGAACGGCTTATGGCTTTCTAAGAGCGCTTGTTCCTCATTTTCCCACGCTGTAATATCTTCTTTCCTTCTCCTTCTTGTGAATTGTACTCCAAGCTTGATCAAAGTCAGGTCACGGTTGTGATAATCTGGACGGCGTCCAGGTGGCAGCATTCTGTGAACAAACGCCCTGCGGTCGTCTCTTGCCTCAAAGCAAGCCRTTCCTTCAGCTGAAGAAAACATGAAAGAGGCGTTCTTGAGTTGGTCTCGGTTGCGAATGACGTTAGAAGTAGTGAGTACCCATCCATCTCTTATGTGGAACCCACTCCCGACGTGATGATGCTGTGAAGAATCCGGCGAATCCACCTTAATTAGACAAACTCCTGTACTGTATTCTTCGAGGTCTTTTAACACCGCCACTAAGTTTGACTCTCTCGCAATCTTCAGTTTCAACTTATCATCTATGGGTAACGATGTAATCAAGGATTTTATGGAGTTTGCTTCTTCTTCTATTATTTGTTCGACTTCTTGTTCGTAAAGGAACTTTCTCCCCCGCGAAAGACGCCTCGACTTACTACTTGCCATTATGTTTTAAAACGCGTTACCTACTTCGGAAACAGTTTAACAATAGACCCGAAATCGTCTTTAAAGGATGGTTGTCATAGTGACTGTCCATCATGGGTTAACCTGCTAGTGGTATTTCATTATTTTGGCTAACACTGTCAACAGAATTTTGATCAAAAGGCTACGAAAAATATTCTATTTTGCTTGAATATAGACATTTCGCGATTTCTTATGAATTTCTACAGCTTTCAGTAGGCTGTGGTCTCAKCTGGAGAGGCAAAAAACTCCAAACAAGAAATATAATATGTCTAATTCGAGTTCTGCTACTGGAGCTTTTTTCGTTATTCTATATTGTCTCAGCGATCTCAAACGCTCATTCTTTCAATTGCAAATAAATTCAAGCAGTGAGGTCYAATTTGCATATCGACTGAAAACACAGCTGTCTTCCAAACATTGTTTTCGAATTCCAGTTTACCTTGATTTGATCTTTCTTGACATAATGTCAATCTTTAGATCCAGCAATCTTMAAAAAAAAATCATTTCTTAATTTCAAATTGAAAAACTCGACTAATTGGACAAAAGRCTAGCATTTACCGAGTTTTTTTGATCGCTGCGACAATAACAATTCTACAGTTGATAGCTTTTTAATCAAATCAGCCAACGCCAATGCCAAAGATCAATGCAATTGCATRTGAAGTTTACTTTAACTGAAAAACTTAAATGGCCTTTCTTACATTTTATCCTCATTTGACGAACAACACAATTAAGGGTTCCCACGTACAAAGTAGCAAAACATGTTCTTTTTAAAAGCTAGAGGAACCAATTAATTTTCGTTATTATTCAGAGCTTCCCTCAGACACATTTATAAATAGCCTCTTGTTTTGAATCAGACGTGTTTGTAAAGAAAAAATAAACACACCACGACCTTTTATTGTTTCRATGACTTTCATATCTACTAGACGTTGGGTCCTGCGAAAGCATTGCATTCGGAAACCATTAGTTCTGAGCACGTGTACAGATACAAGGGAGGACTGTCAAATCGTCGGAGAAAAGSCATATTAAAGGATTACGGCGGATAAAGCTATTGATTTTTGCATTAGCGTCTATTTACAAGTAGCAGATYTAAGTCTACACTCTAAATCAGAAGTCCTTAATTTTTCAAGACCGCGGATTTTTCAAGCAGTTTGAAAGGCTTTTTATATTCATGGGCACTTAAAATGGTTGAGCCAGTAAATTAAGCTAAACACCAATGCTTTTTAATCCGTTATTTATTACACATTAAGGTTGGATATCAGTTATAAACTGGAAACTGTGAGTTTTGTTTTATTGTTTCGACCCTAAATGACTAATAAACAAATTATGGACTTGCTTGTTTGCCATATGATATGGTGAAAATTCGCGAATAAAAACGATACCAAGCTCTTGACATAGCTTAACATGTGATGAAATCTATTTATTATACATATTATAAACKCAAATCTCACTTCTCATTGGCTGAGAGCCCTCAAACGATCCGTGATAGTGATATCGCGTTAACCATGATTTATGCGACTTCGGTTAAATCATAGTTAATAGAGGGGTTCCCCTCTATTAACTATGGTTAAATACGATATTATTGTATAATTTTCAGCATAATGATGATGATAGTTATCATTTTTAGTATGGTTTTAGGCCTGGCCCAATGTGAATCGCCAGCATGCGTATATATCATTAGGAAACAACCTAAAAAAATAGTTGTCTCAGTTGCATTACCTTGATCTTAAAAATCAGTATTGTTTATAATAACCAATATATTTTGCCGGTTGTTATAATCCCAAGTAAATTGCTTATAATAACCAATAATATTATGGTGGTTGTAACCCAAAGTAAATCGTTCATTTTAACCATTTTAAAACTGGTKGTCTCAGTTGCATAAATTCAACCAATATTTTTTGGTTGTTTCAACCAGGCAGTTTTTACAGTGTAGGTTGGCCCATAAGGRCCATAAAGCAAGTAAGACGGGTTGCATGTTACAGGAGTTGCTGCATTGTAGATGTGGGTTGCTGAAACAAGTTCCTGTAAAAAGAAACGAGTTGCTGTATGTAGAGTTAATAAAATACGAGTTGCTACATCTTATAGCAAGTTGCTGCAAATAATCAAGAAYGAAAAAAAAAAAACGTTTTGGGCGCTATAGATCCCCCGCGGGTGTACTCTTGCCCGTTTAGGGTATGGATGTGCCGCTGAGCCCTCTGAACCCTGAAACTGTTCCAGAGTAAAAATTGTTGGCACGTACCCGTATAGCGAATATAGGGGAGTACCCCCCCCCCCGGATAGATCCCTTCTCCCCTTCCCTCCCCCCGCTGTCACTGGGACTTGTTAACCGTAAAGCAGTCTAAAGGGAATGCCACATAAAAGAAGTGCAATTGTTCTACTATAGTAAACAACCTGCAAACGTTTATAGAGCGTTTTCACGTGATGTCACAGCGGCCATTATGGGGTACCAAAACAATACATTTTCTATCCTCCGGGAATTGTGCAGAAAGTTTCTATTGTTTATGGCTGTCTTCCGACGTGAGTAAAAACGCTTGACTTCCCTTAGGTTTCGTGTGGGTTTCCTGTGTTTAAATCCCATAGTTCCCTGCGGTGACAGGAATCAACATGGCGGAAAAGGAGAATCAAACTGTATAACAAAAACGAAAGAAAACAGACTGGCTTACAGCCACTAGAAATGGGAGTCACGAGGTAATACCTAGCTTTATTCATTCAGGCATATGCAGGGAGGGCTTTGTTTGTTTTATGAAATACAAACAAGCATTTTGAGATCAATTTGATRGTTTATCGTAGCTAGACGTGGAGCGCGGTTTAAAGTGAAGGGGCCGTATGGGGGCTTTCAGCTTGGTTCAACCCTTHTTCTTCCCCGAAAAAAAAAATGTTTAAACTATATTTCAAGGACCGCGGAGCCGGGGTACTGGGGGGCTGTAGTCCCCTCACTTTTTGCGCCAAAAATACGAATGTAAATAAAAAACGTTTTCCCACGAAATTGGATTGAGAGTATGCTTAATTTTCAAATGCCAGCCCCCCCCCTTCCCCACTTTTCAATATGCTCCGCGGTCCCTGTATGTTGCATATTGCATCTGAGTGATTGTGCTCGCTACATTTCATTTAATAAATTTAATAATGATAAAAGTTGAAAATAAATGTGATTTTTTTTTTTCATGCTGTAGCTCAACAATAAGTTACATATCTTTAATGATACATACTAATTGCAAGAACTTCGTCAGATAAAAAAAATAACATAACTAATAGGAATTAAGTATCATTTTTAAGTAAATTAAAGGTATAGACTGACATTTTGATATTACAGTAATGGTAAAAAGGTAAATTATACACTGTGAAAAGATGAAAAAGCTGACTGAC